CTTCCCGAGTGTCTGTGGCGCTCGGGGCCGTCATGTTTAATTCAGGGGGAGGTGGCGTTTATCAGCCAAAACATTCTCCCACATGAAAGTGAAACCTGGTGCCCGTCCAGTGTTAGATATGCAGTCACAGCGGGATTACTGGTGAGACTTCGACACAGGGGAGGATCTTAATGAAGACACACAAAGCGCCTCTCCCTGCCGCCACTCACTCGTGCCGGTCTCGTTCCCACCCTGGAGTCTGCAGACGCTCTCCCCTCCCCGCTTGTTTTTACTGGCCCTGTCACCGTTTCATGTTCCTCTCCGCATTAACAGTCTCAGCCTCGCTGTGCAGAGGTGACTCGGTGGTCAGAGAGTCCTGTCACCTCATATACGCTCACCTGATGGCTGAGTGACAGGTGTGAGGGGAGCTGCAGCCGCACACGTCGCTGTGATTGGACAGATTCTGTCACTTTTCAGCTCCTGGCAGTTTCAAACCAAACTGCACGACAATAATTAAGTTCATCGTTAATTCAATCATGCACTGGAGTTTTCTGTTAATGATGACGTCACAGATCAGCTGTTTTCACAATACACCCCTTCACCAAGGAGGCCACGCCCCTAATGGTGCAAAGAGTTTTTTAGCATCAGACATGAGGATTACTTTGAACTGTGACTCATGCAAAGCTGCTCTGCGAGGTCAGTCACTGTAGAGACAAAAGATCTGAAATTTGGAATAAGCACAAACACACAGGAACCAGCTGCTGCTCCTCCATAACTTCATTAATTACTCATGATTATTTGATTATTATTGCAGGGTTTTCATTTTTACTCTGTCTCACAGCTTCCTCTCTTCCTAAACTGAGCATCAGCTCTGTGCTGCAGAGAGGAGAGACGAGGAAACCTAATATAATTCAGTTGTTCTGCCAAAAAAAATCTCTGTTCCTCTCTGGGATTTGAAATCCTCCAGCCACAGAAAATACCACATTATAATTCATAACCAGCTGCATGCAAATCAATACCCAGGCCTGATGTTACTGGCTGATGTGAGGAAGCTGCTTTGGCACAGAAAAAGGAGGAAGGGGGGGAGCAGCAACACGTTAGCATAGCATCCATCACAAAGCGACACGCAGTCAGAAGCAGGAGGCAGCGTGATCCAAGCACACGGATTTGGACATTTGGTTTTTCGGTTGTGGTTGTTTGGTTGGAGTCAGCGGAGAGGTTGTAATTATTTTAATGAGTTTAACGAACACACGACAGCTCGCTGGCCTCCGAAGCAAACACATCGTCATCACACTGAAGCTTGTGTGTCATCGGTCCTGTCTTCCTCACACGGCCCCTCCCCGAGCCTGGTTCTGACGGATGTTTCTTCCTGTTAAACGGAAGTTTTTCCTTCCCACTGTCACCAACTGCTTGGTCATAGAGGCTCAGCCTATTGCTGGGGTCTCTCTGTGTTCACATTATAACTGCTGCTGTGATTGGTTGCTATATATAAAAAAAACTGTACTGAACTTAATTAAAAGCTGAGCGAGGCCGGGCGGTCGGTGTGCACGTGTGCACGACCGTGAGCGCGCAGTCTCTGATCTCATTGTTCATCTGTGTGACGCTGCAGAAGCTTCCAGTTCGTTTTCATCATGTTCGAGGTCTGTCACATTAAAAATGATCAGACTTATCTTTGTCCTCTTTAAGTAATTAAGATGAAATTAGCTGGCTGGGCCGAGTATTAGATTTGGGACATTCGCTGGCTTGGTAGCATCCACCCATCTGTTGGAGGGTGGTGCAGCTTCCTTTGATGTTTTAACTGCTGATTTTAATTGGCCTGTTTTGTTTGGGACCAAATGGCACCACAGCAGATCAGCAGCAGTCGCGCGAGGCGCTGCTCGGTCCTGTCTCTTTAAGAACCTCCTTCCCTAAAAGCCTACTTTCCTCTGATTGGCTAACATCCAGAAACCTGCTGAGGGGCGGTTTGTGCAGCAGAACAACTGAATAGAGAAATCTGGCTGGAACGTACGACAGAAACACGGTGAAGCATGAAGGTCCCGTTTTTCCCTGTAGAACAAAGCCAGTGGATGACCTTTACAGCACAGCTGTATACAGGAAGGTCCCGTGAATCATTAATGACTGCATGCGTCGCTCTATAGATCAGCCCCGACAAGGAGAACCATCCACGAGGTTCTTTATTCTAAATGCCATTAATGTGGTGAGCAAACTACAGCACACTCACACAGTGAACTATACTGCTGTTTTTATCTTTTAGGCATAAAATCTTATTTTGTGCTCATTTTATATCTTTTTGTGGCAGCATTAGTGATTATTTGTAGCTACATTATACACAGGAACTCTGGCCCCAACAGTTTGGTTAATGCACTGCACTTCCATCGGGTCAGCAGAAACATAAGGTGGAAAAGTCACGTTTTAGCCTCATGCTGAACACGTTCATATCAGATCTTTCTTGTTCTTTGGCTTCACTTCTGTTTAAGATTTCCCACTTGGTGCTAAATGAATTAAAATAAATAAATGGGTGGATATGAACCTGAAGCTAAGGGTAAACCTGTTTGGAAGTTAGGAGGTTAAATCTGCCAGCGTGTTGCTTTCAGTGCTCCTCAATAACCTCGCAATAAAAAATAAACTTTTGATTAAGTTATAAGTGAACCATTGGAGTCATGTCTGTGTCCAGGTCAGTGGAAGATTAATGTTGGGATTAATTGAGCCTGACTCAGAAATGTTTAAAGGACACATCAGTTTGGCTGAAACAAAAACCAACCTTCACCCTGCAGAGGTCGCGTGGCTGATGTCACAGTCGATTTTTCCTTTTCCTGAAACCTGCGGTCGAGGAGCAGCACCACCTCAACGACTCCTGTAACCACCTGCCCACCCAGAACTCCCGTCATCAGGTCACCCTCCTACGTTAACCACCTCTTACCCATCCCTCTTCTGTCCTTGCTCCAGAAATGGCACAACAGCCATGACCTCACCAGAGCCAATCAGGATGTCTCCAACCTGTCAGTCATTCCTTATTTATCCCCATCATCCACAATTTGCTCTGCTCTTTAAGCCTGTAAACTCACATTATTTTGTCATGGTGCTCACTATTAAAATAATATAACATGTAATTTGAATAAAAAAAAGTGACAGGGCCTCCGTCATACTTTCATCCATTCTTTGAATAGTGGGTGGTGCCAGTTCTCCACTTAATGTCATTTTAACCATCGCAGAATAACAACAGACGAGCTCCGCTCTAACTTCGAGACAGGAAGAGGAAGGAAATCTGATTCTCCTGGTTTCCTGTTCAGTTCAGGTTTGGTTAGAGTCTCATCGCGTTCGTCTCTTCACTGGATCAGAAGCTTGAAGCGGAGCTTAGCAGACCAAAAGTCCAGCAGCTGAAAGCTTCAGCATGGACAGGATTAAATATGAGTCCAAGGTCCTGATGCCACTTTTGTGCTGCTGCTCCGTGTTGGTGCTTTTGCAGTACTGCTATCCAAGTTTCGTCAATGAACAGCGAGGTCAAAGGAATAAAGTTCTGCAGAGAGAACAGATGTTCTTCAGGCAACCTGTGGAGACTTTCTTCTACTTGCAAACTGATTTCAGCTTAAAGTAGCTGAGGTACCATCGCAGCTTCAATGTCAGTGTCAGTCAGTGACGGACATGATACTGAATCATTTCCAGAGTCATCATGTGTGCTTACTTCTTTCTGTCTTTATTTCACGACGACTTTTCCACCACAGCCAAGTTATTGAGATAAATGTTTTAAATCATCATAATTCACAGCATGCAGCACATGCATGACGTACTAAACTGCACAAAGATCCAAACAACAGACAAAACTTAACCACAGCGATGCCACAGTTTGGTCTCAAGGGCTTTATTCAGATTAACATCCAGATAAAATCCCAGAATTTAATCAAACCTGGAGCTCAGCCTCGTTGCACGGTCTGTTGCTATAGTGACCTCACAGCAGCCATATTATTGGTCAGATGCTCCAAAAGGCTCCAACAGCACAAACACGGTGCAGAGGTCCAGCTCAGGTGAAGCTAGCAGACAGCTAGCAGCTACAGCCGCCTGTGTCACCATCCACCTGTCAGTCAAAGAGGCCACGCCCCTAATAATGCACACTGTGACCCTTAATACAATTTAAACAGCTGATTCGTCTGGTATGGAGGTCGAAACCAGCTGAATAAGTAAATAAATAAATAAATAAACAACTTATCACTAATCACTTGCTTTAGTATGTTTTCGCTTTTTGTTCATATTTTCGCTCTCCCATTTAATATTTTATTTTATTTATAAATATATTAATGTAAATATTTATTTCCCAAATGGTTTCCCTCTTCACACCGTGTCCCGTACTCGTGTGTCAATAATGTACGAGTCATTATTGACAAATAATGTAAATTATTACAGAAATAATTAAACAAATCCATACTTACAGGAAACTGAATGAGAGGTCATTTTGACATAAATATTTCTGTGAGGAAGCCAAACTGAATGATTTCACACTTTATTAACTGACTTGTGTGCGCATATATTTCAACATTATTTCCTTCTATCCTCTCTTTTATTTTTTTGTCTCAATATTAATAATATTGTTGCATTTTCAGTCCCCCATAGATCACACATCACCAAAATAAGTTGATAACAACATTTAAATCTGATTTAAAATGTCAATTTTTAGCTACATGATCAATAAACAGACCATCTGAGGTTAGTGTTTTCTTTTTTTCTCAAACTCAAAAATTAACCATGGCTACTAAAATGCCTCCAAACTGTAATTAAAGCATTAAAGTGCAATAAAACAGCACAGCGCGTCACGCAAACCTCGCTGCATCAGAGTAAATGTACTTTGCACCACTTGCAGAAACACAGAAATTTGTTGAGAGACGAGAGGATGGAGGGATGGAGGAGGAGGCGGAGACTGGAACGGGAATAAAAGCTTCTGAGAAGTGAATAATCCCCCCCCCCCCAATAAAAGAAGAAGGAGACACGCAGCAGCATTAAGGCAGAATAAAGAGAGTAAATGTTCGTACCTTTGATGGTGAGTGGAGGAGATTCCTGCACAAACAAGTGGATGTCAGTGCATGAGGGGTCCGCACTAACAGGTGGTGAGAGAGGAGCGAGTAGCCGAGCGGTCGAGAGAGGTAGGAGGGAGGAGAGAGAGAGAGAGAGAGAGAGCTCTCCTTCTCATAGATTCGGACTTTTAACTCTTTCTGCCCCCCACCCCCTCCTCACTGTTTTCAGTGCGATGTTTAAGTGTTTAATATCCTTTCGCCGGGCTTCACATCCATCTGAAACGTCACCGGCGATGAAGCTCTTCCTTTAATCACACTACACATGTATTAGATTAACTCCCCCTCCCTCCCCTCTTTCTCCCCTTCTTTTTCCTTCCCAGGGCTGCAGATTGCAGGGAGCAGAAAAATGTGCCAACAGCAGCATCTGTCTTTCTCTCTCTGTATAATTTGTGGTTAATGATGCCTAATGATACATTTGTGCATCCAGCACACATATACAATCACACATAGCATTTTTTTCCTCCTCCCTTGCAGGAAAGGGTGTAGAACATGTGGCCTCCTCCTCCCCCCGACCCTTCTCGTCCCACCACCTCCTCGGCCCTTTGTTCCTCCTCTTCCTCACTCCTGTGGTCACACAGATAGGTGTCCCTGGGGTAGAGGAACCCCTTGTTAAAAAAAGAGAGAGAGAGAATGTGCCACTCTCCATCCTTCCTCCTCCTCTTCTTCTTCTCTCTGCATCTCATCCACCCACACACTCAGTCTTTCTCTCTCCGTCCATGCATGCCAAAATGGACAAGGAAACCCTGCGATTATTTCTCACATTTCGTGCACACCTCTCTCCTTCTCCACCTCTGGTCTCAAGTGCAACATGACAGGACACCCTGCAGTCCACTTCAAGGGTAAAATGAGGACGGGTACCACAGCTGCTCCTGCTGCTGATGTTCTTGTTTTTAAGAGCCCAGATGGAACAGTTTCCTTTTAAGAGGCGGTAATGAGTACGCTGAGTGAAACGACTGAACTCTGTGGGTAGATGGAGATGATGCTCTGGGGGCTGGCAGAGGTTTGAGGAGGTGAGCAGGATGGAGGATTAGGTGGAGAGCGTTGGGGGAGTCTGGGCAGGTAGGGCAGTTGAATTATTATTACAACTGCACAAAAGGAAAGAACTTTAAATCTGCTAACTAACGAATACTAATGACTTCCAAGTTTTATTTATATGGCAGCAAATCAGAACAGCAGTCGCTTCAAGGTGCTTTATACTGTAAAGTCCTACAGTAATCACAATAATCCAGAAAACCCCGACATTCACATGACCCAACTATGAGCAGCACTTTGATGACAGTGGGAAGGAAAAACTCCCTTTTAACAGGAAGAAACCTCCAGCAGAACCAGGCTCAGGGAGGGGCGGGGCCATCTGCTGGGGTAAGGTGGAGTCAGCAGCTCTGGTCAGCATTGATCCAATGAGCAACAGCGTGCGTATGAATAATTATAAAGTAGAAGAGCAGACTAGTGAAGTGAGTGGCCACGCCCACAAGAACGACATGAATCACACTCCCTTTTAGCCCCACCCTTTTTCTTGAAGCTGTCCTCAGAAAGCTGACACGCTTTTTGCTCCTGTGTTATGTGTTTATTCACCTCTCTGCATTTAATCTTGAGTTATTAATCATCTCTTCCACAGCATGTCTTTGTCCCGTCTTCCACCCGGTCGCAGGTTTCTTCCTGTTAAAAGGGAGGTTTTTTCATCCCACTGTAAAGTGCTTGCTCATAGGGGGTCATATGACTGTTGGGTTTTCTCTGTGTTACTCTGAGGTCTTTACCTTACATTGTAAAGCACCTTGAGGGGACTGTTGTGATTTTGTGTGATTTTATGTCTTTTCCTTCAGAGCTACACAAATAATTTTGCGCTGCAAAAGCTGCAACAACAACGTCTTTTCTAAAAAGCATTCAGGGTTGAGAGCTGCAGGGGTTTTATGATGATGAAATTTAGAAATGTGTGCAGAAAGAAGCTGTTTGCTGAGACAGCAGAGGGTGAACGTGGTAATTAAAGAGCTTTTGCTTCCTTGTTTACTTTCTCGTCTGTTTCCTGGACTTTGATCCAAAGAAAACTTTGAAAATCCAAAACTTGAAGTGAACGTCTTCTGCTTTTCCTCACTTCCTGTCACATATGTGCTGCTCCTCTTGTAGACGTGGATATTAAACATAAAGTTTTGAATAATGAGCTCCGTGTATGCACAGACTGAACACTCCGTTTGGGGCAGGCTTTTTAAGTTGTTTTCATTCTCGTGTTCTTCATACTGCAAAGTAACGACGCTACAATATGAACCCGAGCGGCCTCTGAAGATCGCACCGCAGCACTTTGGTGTTCAGAGGAGTTCACGGTCCACTCGGTGACCGCGAGGAGCCCAAACCATCGTCGCTCCACCGCCATGCTGCCAGCTGGTCTGAGGCTTCCTCTTCAGTTTGTGTTTTACGGACAAACATGTCCGCCTCAGCCTCGTCTGTTCCAGAAGTCTTTGTTTTGTTCAGATGCATCTTTGTTAAGCTTTGGCACCATGTTGAGGACCTTTCCTCCTGCAGCTGTACTTGTTCAGGCTGTTTCTAACTGTGCTGTCATGAACTTTAACCTTTGACTGAGGCCTGTGGAGTCTCAGATGGAGCTCCTGGGTTTTTGCTTGGGCTGAAGTTGCTGCGACTTCCACTCCTGGGAAGACTGTGTCGCTCTTAACGCTCACACTGATGATGATCAGCCAATCAGGTGCGTTTCATTATTAGCACCTGGCTGCTTCTCATCATCTTAATTCTGGTGGAAGGAATGAGAACCTGTGAAAAGCTCTGCCTCCATATTTTATACATCTGCAGTCTCGTGGATGTCGTGTAGTTTTTTAAAGTAGATTTAGGGTTGGAAACCTCAGAGAGAAAGAAGAGCAGGATTCATTGAGCTTCTTCCAGCAGGTCTGTCCTCTGAACGTCTGCCCTGCAGGACGAAGGATGTCGGCTATAAGAGCTGTTAAATATTTGATCGTCGGGGCCACGTCCAGCCGCCCTCTGACAGACGTGCCTTTAGTCAGAAACCTGGTCACACTGTATAATAAACTTCCTCACCCTGTTCTACTTTTTCTCCTCTCTTCTTCAGTCATTCTCGTGGCCAACGATGCCGTTAATTACCGATGATAATGCTTCAGGTAATTGAAAATGTTAACCGGCTTCTCGTCTGTGCCGATCTCTGCCTTAGAGACATGCGGTGCTGCTGGATTGTTGTGTATTATGCAGATTGAGTGTTATTAACCCCGATGGTCCTGAATTCACTCGGGTTGTGTGTTGTGATCCTGTTGTCATGTGGAGCCTTTATCCTGCTTTGTGTCGGTTCATCTTCTCATCTGAATCTCACTCGGTTTGTTGGAGATTCAGCTCACGTCTCAGTGACTGCTCAGCATCGACTGTCTTTGAATGCTTCACCGCGTGGGTCCACACTTCAACCCCCCTCAGCAGAAGATACTGGCTGAAACTTTGCTCCCTTAGCTCATATCCATCATCCACAGCCGCCATGCCCCTGGTAAGCCCCTAAATTAAGGCTCTGTGTGACAGCATTTGTAATTCATGCCTTAATTAATTCACACTAACGTCTTTGTTGATAATCACCCTGAAGACTTTTAGATTTGTTAAAAAAGCTGAAAGTAAAACCTTTTGATTCGGTTTCACCTCTGGGTGAAAACTTCAGTTAGAAGTTCCTCACGGTGCCGACAGCATCTGCAGTGATGACAGAAAACAAACGTCCACTGAGATCCTCATCACACCATCAGGGATGTTCGGCTTCCGAACGCGGGGCCGCGAGAAAACCCGCAGCAGCTCATCCGTGAGGGACGGATCGTCTCAGATGTTGCTGAAGTTCGGTCACTGTTCCTAATGTGTCTTTGTTGGCCTCAGCAGCTCTGCAGCCTCCAGCAGGTATCACGCCATCTCCACCCTCCAACCTTTCAGATCAGAGTGAAATGGAGGCGACTGGTTGAACAGGTACTGGTGGTGTTAAAACATGAACATTCTCGTAACGCTGTCTGTGCTTCATTCAGTGGATTTATTCAGCTCTGCAGCTGATTTTAAATCAAAACTCTGAACATCACCTGCTCCACACCAGGTTATGTATTCATCATCAGTTACCATGGTGATTTCGCCAGGCAAAAAGTGATCCACTTTCCTTCCACACAGCTCGTTGTCCCGTAGTCCTCCGGGGGAGGGAGGGAGGGCTGCAGAGCCGCTTGCAGCTCGGTTTTTGTTTTTGTCTGTTCTGTGTCGCAGTTTTTGGGGACGGTGACGTTCAGCTTTAACGCCATCTTTAGCTGCCTGCACCTCAGACGGGTGAAGGAAGTGCAGTCTCTGGTGTGTAGTTCATGTGTTTTGTCCACCCATCCTCCACCCCAGCCTCCTCCCTATGTCGTTCTGAACGGTGAAGCTTCATTCAGAACATTTCCTCCCTGATTTTTCTGCGTCTCTACCTGACGAAGCAGCTCGGTGGTGTAGGAAGATCATTTCTTTGAGCCATTAGTGACAGACTGGTGAAAAACACTTGAATGTCACTGAGTCAGAGGTTCCTTACACTGCATTTCCATTTCAGACTCCATCTGTGTGCTCCTGTCTGCTGAGGCTGTAACCAACACGTTGCACATCATCTGGGCATCATCTGGGCACGTTGCACAATAACAGAAGTGTCCTGTTATTGTTTCATGAAGCTCATCAAGCCTTTGCTGGCACCAGAGCTGATGTACGCTCTGAGAGGATTTCACGTGCCTGCTGCCAAATGTTGCTTTGTTTGGGAAGTTTTGGTTGCAGTTTGGTGTCACGTGGTGACAGATAGTGATGCCGTCAGGTTTTATTTGGCACTGTGAGGGTGTGTTTTGACACTCGGTGTGTGTCTTTTGTAGAGCAGAGCTTCTCCAGAGAACAAAGGTCTGCTCGTACATCAGCCTTTATTTTAGCAGAAACAGAAACTCACTGATTGAGAATGAATTTCTCTGATGAGCACAGGCTCGGCTTCAGCCGGCTGTACTTCTTACTTTGTCGTTGTTTTTATTCTTTTATCTGATTTTTTGTGCTCCTTTTGTGTCTGTTGGTTGTCGTCAGTTTAAAGAATAAAAAGCAGCACTGAGCCAGAAAATCATTCGGTGGATTTAAAATTTTTGCTGCTAAACCACTAGATTTCCTGGCGCTTTGCATTTCATTGTTAATTTAATTAATTTTATGTTTTTTATATATTTGTATCATCATCAGCTGATAGTGTCTCTGACTGGAGTAGGTGACACTCATAGGGATCACTTTGTGTTGATGTAGAGTCACGTGTGTCGTCTACTGTGGACCCTAATGCAAGATTCAGAGAAAGGCAGTTAACTCAAAGTGGAAACAGTGTGAACGACGGAAGACGGCGCTATTTAAACATATAATCAGAAACAACACAACGGGGTAACAAAACACAGGTGGCGATAAAGATGGTGACACAGGCGAGGAAGTCAAACTAAACCAAAACACATAAAAGAGGAAGTGAGACAGCTCAGCTACACTGACACGAGAGGATGAGACGAAGCATTTTTCTCCTGCTGTTTAACTTTGCTCGTTGGTCCCGATGAGCTAATGAACCGTTAATTTACCCTCTTCAGTTTGTGCTCGTGCTTCAGCTGAAGCTCGCGGCTGTACGGAGACGAGCAGGATCATTTGTAACGCTCCCCAGTGTTTACGTCCTCCTGCCCGCGTGCCGGGTCGCGAGCCCACGAGCCTTAAACTCTTTGATGAGCGCCCGCTCCCTCCGAGCCTCATTACGTCGCTCGTGTTCAGCTGGATTTCCTGTCGCCTCTGCTTTGCTGCTCTTTGTAGACTCGCCGTGGCCCTCAGAGGGTCTCCGCTGCTGGACAGCATGAATTATCAGATTCCTTTTTTATTATTCGGAGGACTGCATTTCATTCTGACGCCTAAAGCTTCTAACAGAGAAACAATGGAGGAAAAGCGCCCTCGTCGTGTTTTATTTATTATCTGCTCACACAGGGTCGTATCTCCCCGATTCAGTCATGACCTCGTCGGTGTCCACGTGCAGATTGATTTCTTTAATGGTCTGCAGAGACGAGGCAACAAATCCCGCGTCCA